TGTGTTGGTGAAAGTGGGCCGTCTGTAAAGAAAAGAGGAAAGGAATCCGTCAAAAACGCTTAGGTTAAGAGCCCAGTCATCTTCCTAATCGGCTGTGGTAAGGGAACGAGAGGCCAAGCGCAGAGAGGAGAGTGTGGGGCGAGAGAGCGCTACAGATGAGAGGTCGTCAGACAACAGTCCGATGAGAGAAAAAAGTCTGCAGCTTGGGCAGCCCACTTTGCAGGGCCCAAGCGCTCTTATCGGTTGATTTTCGTGTACGAGAACGCCACATTTGTGATTCTCCTCTGGGGTTCTATAATACGGACCAAAGGGAAGCGTTCCTGCGACCTCTGCCTGGGTTGTGCCTTTAATCAAAAAAAATAATGTCTCTTAATATTGTGCTGTACCGGAGCCTCATCAGCACCTAAATATTGTACAACACAGAGAGGCACCAAAATTTTATAGATATTTTATATAGTAAGACAAAATTCTGGTGCCTCTCTGTGTTGTACAAAAATAATATTTCAGGTTCTCGTTTGTGAATCTGATCATTACAAATCCAGCTGCTTCCATTTCCGTTCAGTGAGATGCATGCTTTCTGGCAAACTGATTCTTTTTCTTCACTTAAACACTTCTTTACTTCACTCATCATGTATGCGTTTGTTATATTACGTGATAAACCATATACTTTGAAATTTATAATATTTTTATATTTCGTGCTTTGGTCGTGTCCAAGAGCACGCGCATGAAAGTGGCTGCCCAGGGTCAAGCGTGCGTTGAGGAATCCTCGACACGTCGCAGGGGGGGGGGTCGTATTGGCCCGCTGGGTGGAAGAGATCGAGCCATTTTGATGCAGTGGGATCATCACCGTCGGAAGACAAATCAAGGATGAGTCGATGCCAGGCCAGAGGATTTCCAATGAAAATGATATTTCACCCACACAAAATTTTCGTGATTCTGAGGCGTCCGGTAATTCTTAGTTACTTCAGTGTTTTATCACCACACAAGTTAAAGAATCTGAATTTCGCACGCTTTCCAAGAGATATTTCATCTTTCAAGTAAATATTAAATCGTTGCCAGAGTTTCTGAAAAAGGAAAAGCCATATTAAACACAGGGCTGGCCAAGACACAGAAGGTAATATAGACAGTCTACCTGCTCGAACTGCGTGTATCCATACACGTCAATTTGGTCAGTCCAAGATTAAAGGTATGGTCTGAGATTGGACATGTTGACCCATTCCATACCATCGTGGTACGTACAAGCATCAATGTCGTGCTTCTACCATGGTTTGAAAGTATGCGACAAAGGCTCTAGGAGCCCATAATCTAACTCCGATTTGGACCAGTTTGTCTGCTTCGATGCTTGCACTTCGACAAGGGTGTGCCGCGGATGCGTCAGCATTGCGACGCGTTATTGGCACTGACTCAACTGGAGCTGGCCGTGAGTGAAACTCGTCCAACGCTCCTCCCCCAATTCCAGCTGGAAAACGGCCAAAAGAGTCAGGTGCCTTATTCAGGTGTGATGTTTTTTTTTGCTCTTCTTGTTTTCCGACCAATTCGCACTCCCTCCCTCCCCTCCCAGCTTCATATTTAACCCTTACGCGCACCAAATTGATCCGGGGCCTGCCCCTTACAGTACGAGGGCGTTTTCCAGGTTCTGAAGCTACAGGCTACTTCTGCTGCTATAATGTATGTGCACTTGTTTCTAGCTTTTCTGAATACTTCAAGAATCTTGTTTCCATGTTGAAGGAGCACCTGTTCTGATTTGGTTCTCTTTGGTGAGAAAGAGCAGGTGGCCGAATTTGGGGTGGCTGCGACTGTAAATGCACGCTTGAGTGGAACTATAAAGGATAAAACACCTACGATCGTTAGTCGGACATCTCCTATTTCATTTCCTGGTCCACATGGTTTGTTTGCAACCACCCACATTGTCGGCAATTACACGTCATCTCTTGATTGTTCATAATCCGGGCCATCAGTTTAATGAATTCTGTTTCCATAAGTGGAACAGATCTCGAATTTCGAAGCAGATTCTGGTGGTCCCGTTGACGAAAGGTGCTGCGCTGCGGCAATGGTGAGAAGCAGAGCAGCAGCACCAAGGTCAGTAGATGAGGGCATGCTCAGGGTAATTAAGCCTCGATTCGCCTTTTTCTGACTAGACGGTGAAGACCTGACTTAACCCTTCCCTACTGGTTAAATTAAGAAAAGGAAATTCGGGAGTCTCTAGAAATTCTGATAGTCATCGAAGTAAGGCGAGTCTATCGAATCGAATGGCATCCCCTTCAGGTCAAGATATTCATCGCGCTCGAGCCGCTGTCCGAATCATGTCGATTATTTGTTTCTAACTCTTTCATGCAGAAAGTGTCGGTCCTCCTTCGCCAACAGAACTCACTACCCTTCAGCACCTACTCTACAGTACTTTCTGATGATTCGCATACTGTTCCAAAAACAAATTGGTCATAGGGGTCTCGGCTACGTTCGCTGAACATAGGTTTTTGACACTGGGGGAAAAATGGAAGATGAGAGCGATACTCATTAGTGAGTCGACCAACGATCACTTTAAGATCGGATTGCACATTTGCAACTAGCGCGCATATATTTTGAACAGGCAAAATTCAGAAACTTAGAGATGCTCAAAGAGAGACAAAATCAAAAAAAAAACTCTGAATTCTTTGTGAGCATGGTTCACTCGTTTAACACACAACTATAAGATCTAAATGTGTAATTAACAATACGAGGCTTCAAAATTTAATGCAAAAGACTCGAAACTTTCTGGTGAAACTCCAGTTCGGGGGGGGGCACTCCATTGCTATCTTATCCGTAGTACTAGAGAGCAGTTCTTTGGGCTATCGAACACTACGGATAAGATAATAAGTGAACGACTCATTTCGAGCGTACTTTTGATAAGGACCGGTGGATGTCCTACATTCCACACTACCTGCCCACATCCCATCCACTTTTCTGCACAGGTGATCCACCCTGGAGCTCCTGCACCCTTAGCCCTTTGCGGAGGTGTCCTTTCTCCTGGTCCAGGACCGTTCCCTTGGGTCATGGCAGGCGGAAATGTGAAACGTTTCAGGGTTTCTCACCCATTACACCAATATTTATCAGAAGTCTACTTTAAATGAGTCGATTACGTGTCGTGAGCCCTCTAATCCTTATCTTGAGTATTGGAGAAAAAATGGAGTGGCCCCCCGAACTGGAGTTTCACCCTTTCTACAAAAGAAACTGCAGAAATGCGGGTTTGCAAAAGTGTTGCAAAAGCTCAGGTCTTTTTTGGCAAGCTTTCGGCGCTTAGCGTCTTACCACCACCCTTATCGTAAAAGTCCTACACCGTTCCGTTGAAAACACAGTGGAACGCAAAATACTGGAGGCTCTGGAAATAAAAAGACTAGCCCGGAAATAAATAGCAGAGACGAGTTACGTGACTCTCTTCAACTCATCGCATGACTGCAGTTATCATCACTGTGGAATGAATGCGATATTTTGGGAAATAACGGTCGTAGCACGTCAACGCTATTTAAGGGTAAGTCTAGGGTAGGGAATAGTTCCTGCTTCACAGACCGACAAGGGTGGTAAGTGTTACACTTTTGAGAAGTGGACAGCAGGTGGGTCAGTTAATATATTTTAATATATTAACAGACTTTAAGAAAGCTTCTAATTTTCATTTCAGGCTCGACAAAGGCGCTAAGCGCCGAAAGCTCGCCAAAAAAGGCCTAAACTTTTGCAAAACTTTTGCAAACACACATTTTTGCAATTTCTTTTGTAGAAAGTTTTGAGTCTTTTGCAATAAATTTTGAAGTCTCACATTGTTTATTACACATTTAGATCGACATGAGACTTCGGGACAGAACAATTCTAATACACAGCTAACTATAAGAGTTCAGAGCTCAACGTA